TCTTGTTCCACACACACCTTCAGTGCTACAATTGTAAAGGATTCTGTTGTTAGAGTGTTTTATTACTGTCCTGCAAAACTTACTCAGATTCAAAAGCCTGTAATATCTCAGAAACAGTAAAAAAGCCAATGGATTTTTTTCCCTTCTAAAATCTTGAAAGATGCAAAACTAGTAAAAAATTACTATTTCCTGCTTAAGCCATTTTGTACTTCTAGTCTAGGAACCAGTTAGCAAACTGGAAAATAGTTTCAGGAAGAGCACTATAATTTGTCTCTTACCTGCTGCTGCTTCCTCAAAAAGTTCACAGCCTCCTCAAAATAGCTCAGTTCAAGAATCTCTGGCATAGCAGGGATATCTTCAAAGGACATGTAAGCAAGAGCCAGAGTTACAAAGCCTCTGCTAGCCAGAAGACTTGCTCTGTATTCAATAAGACCTCCTCCAGATCCATACAAATCAATAAGTCCAGGGAATGGGCCAGGTCCTGCAATGAAAGGAGTGTATACATAACCAAAAGAAAAGTTCCTATGGGTGTCCTTTTGTGGTGCCCCCTCAGCACACATCAGGACAGTAGATATCGGAAGAAAATCATCCTCTGAAGCTTTCCATGGTGGGTATCATTCTCAGGAACACACAAAATGACTGTAAACACATGAATTTGCACTTTTTTTTTTCTCTTATGAACTCTTTATAGGAAGTTCACATGTTGGATATCCTTCTCTCAACCTGAATTTCAGCTGGCATTGGCCTATAAGTCCTCAGGCCATTGAGGATCAATGAAGAAAACAGTAATGGCTCTTCGTTAGGAACTATGCTAGCAGGTATGCCATGGAGGGGATACTTGGGTTATGAAAGATACTCACAAGTGCCAGAACTGACCTGTGCCAATTCAGACTTCAGTAAGATCTGAGTAACTACCCCTGAGCTCTTCAGCTCTCCTGCAGCAATAGGACCTTCCTTTCCTGATGCTGGTCTGCCCATTCTCATAGCCAGATTTCCCTTACAAGATGTGGTGTCGCTGCAGCTGCAAGGGACTGATTGTTAATTACAGAGTAAGATAGCCACGTTTAAGTGCCATTCAAGGAACACAAACACTTCAGGCTTAAAGCAGCTTTGCACAGGATCCATTCTCAGCAGTGTCTGTGTACAGAGTTGTAAAATATGTCACTTGTTTAATTAAAGATCTTGCTTTTCCCATTTGTCTCCCATCTCCCTAAGTATCCCATGCAGCCCAGCTGCTCAGTCAGGAAGAGACTTCTTTCTTTGGCTTTTCCTTAGCTAAAGAGAGACACGGAGAGACAGGTCCAGAACCTGCAGGAAGATCTGTAGCAGCTGCTGAGGGTATGGTTCTTCAGCTTAGGCTGGCTGCAGCCTGAGACCAGTGCTCCCACCATGCCTTGTCATTCCTCACACCACGGCCAGAGCTGTCATGCATCACAGCTCTGCCAAGGAGCAGGGGCCCCTTTGTACTGTCAGCAAAACAAAAGCTAAGAAATAAACACACTTTTTGACGAAGTTCTCACTGCAGGAGAGGTCAAGACACTCAACTAGAACAACCATGAGACACCCTGTGCTAGCAGTGCTGCCCTCCCTGCACCACCATGCCCCTGCCTTGGCCATTGCCCTGCCCAGGCAACACCTGCTCCTCGTTGTTCTGCTACGATGATCCAGGTACCTGGACCAGGCACAGGCTAAGGGAAGTGTTAGCTGAGGTTTTGCTCTGGGTTGTTGAGTGCATTCAGGGACCACGGGGCATAATATGTGGTGTCAGTCATACCTGGAAAACCAGAATGAAATTAAAACTCACCAGGAGGGAGGAAGAGGGTTGCTCTGAGACGACCTTCTCTGACCGAAATCCTCTTCACCCCCTCTCCTAAAAACCACCGTTCATTGGTGCATTTTCCCAGCAAGCGGCTCATGCCCCCATGGCCCTCATACACTTCCAAGTCCACACAGAAAGGGGTCAGGACGTTCCTCTTTGCCAGCCGCTTATAGGGCGTTTTGGACTGCAGAGCCCAGAGCAGCCCCATCGGCTCCACTCCCAGATAGCTGCCCCCCAGCGCTGGGGAGCGGCTGAGGTCCAGCTCCCCGCTGCTCCCAGCCCTGTAGAGAGCGTGGGCTTGGAAAAGCTCCCCGCTCTCGTCCACCAGGCTGGCTCGGAGGGTGACCGCCTGCTGCGGCTGCAGACCGGCCACACGGATCTGCACAGGGTCATCGAACAGGCACCTGGGGGAGGGCAGCACCGACACCCGCGCCGCCATCCCTGCTCGGCCGGACGGAGAGCTGCGGCCCTTCTCTGGGGCGAGCCACGGGAACTGCGTGAGACACGAGCCTCAGCAACCTGTCCTTTCTCGGGATTAAAACCTCTGCCCAAAGTCCAGGAGGAATCATCGTGACCACTTCCTTCGGCCGGCACGGGCTGCTGGGAGACGTAGTCCAGAGCACGCCTCCCTCCAGACTCTCCCGCTCGGCTGGCACGGTGACACCGGCCACTTGCACGGGCACAAGCTGTCACTTGTTCTTGGCGACTGCTTTTACTTTTGATTACAGAGAGAGACTAACTTAAAAACCCCAAAGCAGCAAAAAGAAATATCCAAATTGCCGCGCCCCCCAGCTGCAGGAAATTCCAGATTCGACTGCAGAACTGGCTTGAGAGCCTTTGCCAGGACACAATAAACACAAACAAGCTGGAAAGCCTAAGCAGCATGGCATCTTAATCTAGCCACGAAACAAAGCCTGCTCTTGATCCCTCTCAAGCTTTCTGCAATTTTTAGGTAAGCACCACAAGTTAAAATGAAACTTTATCCTATAACTATGTTTCTTTTAAAAAGCAAAAGAAATAGACAAAGTAAAACAATTACTATATTTTTCTTCCCAATAATTAATTTCTCCCATATCAATAATGTTTCCAAGGAACTATTTGAAGATTTGACAATAAACACCAGCTTTTGGTTTTCATAAACAACAATACTATATTTTTGCAATGTCTGTTAATTTAACAGACTTCTAGTCCTACCCTGGGGGTCTCAGCCATGTGAGTAGTCTCATCCCATTCTGTGGAAATACAAATGGAAATCATGACTGTTTGAATCAGGCTCCTGGTTCAAACAACTTGCCTGACCATACACTAAGCAGCAATTAATAGCAAAGGAACAAAACAATCAATGAACTTACAAGCTGCAGAATTACATCTCATGCCATGAGACCACAGATAGGCAAACTGACTGCAGATCTGGCAGAGCACCTCTAAAACCATCCCTCAGGATGCAAGAGAATGCAGCTATGTTTAAATACAACAATGAAAAGAAATAAAAAACAGCAATAAAACCGTGTAGCTTTTTATTGGAAAACAGCCAACATTGACTTTTACATGTCCTCCTAGATGTCCTTTAGCCACTGTTTACCTTTGAAAAAAAATTAGTACAGAAATAAGCTTTAACCTGACTTATTTATTGCAGAAGTTGTAGTTTCTCACCATCCAAACACCACAGCCACTGAACTTAGAGAATTACATCAGGACAGACTTTTGCCTTAAGCAGAATGCATATGTTGGACTGTTGCAGCCTGATGCACAGAGCAGACCCTTCCTTGTCCACTGGGTTCTTATGAAAATAATCCATAAATCTGAACAGTCAGAGCTTCCGTTTTGGGATTTTCCAAACCTGGATTGTCTTCCTTCACACCTTATTTTCCTCACCATCACCAAGGCAACATGCAAAGGCCTAAAAATCTCATTATGAAAGTTCTGCTTACAAGCTAAAAAATCTGGCCAATTGGTCTGGACTCTGAAATCAAGAAAAATAGCCATGATGTGTTCAGTAGGCATTATTGACCATAATTTAATATTCAGTTCTTTTGGGGAGAATCTTGTTTGTACTCCAGTCACAGATGCTGATGATTGTATCACATCAGAAAGAGACATCACAAGCTTGAGTCTCCCACCTTTGCTATAGCATTTTCACAGTTTTTGTGAGACAATCTAGCAGTTGATAATAGCTGTACTTAATGTCATATTCCATGTCATACCAATAATTCACTGAGGAGACAAAAAAAGGAAAAACATTTTAAGACTAGAATGCAATGATTTACAAAAGTGTTCATAGACTGTTTTATACAGTTCAGTTAGTACAGGCTTTTCCTTATTGCTGACTGAACTTTGAAATGAGCAAATCTCTGACTACAGCTAAAAACAACATAAGCAAACAATGGAGTTCTTCACAGAGCTGCCAATGCAACTCTGCCTTAACCCAAACCAACTTCAGAATGTATGCTGGAGATTCATTGGAGCAGAAGATGGCAAAATGCTTAGGAACAGAAAATGTATGCTTTTATTTAGATAAAAAAATACCTAACTGTAAAGTTTAACATCTGGATAGGAACCTCTTTTCCTGTATAAAGGATGGCAAATTCACCACTACTTCACAGTGGTCATCAATCAGACAGTGTTTTCTTCTTCTCTTGCTAATTTTGGGGTATGTCTCCTAGGAAAATGTAGCCATACACTGTAATATTGTACTAATGCTTCTTGGAGGAGGATATGCTCTAGCTTCAGATATTCACTGGACCAGATCCAGAGAATATTGATTTTTCAAGTGTATACAGACTGTACTGCAGTTAACAGACTAAAGGACAAATGAACTCAAACGCTTTGGTATTTCTGCTAAACAGAGGAAAGAAGTGGACAGGGGCTTGCAACTGGAAGCAACTCTATTTTTGCAAAAAAAATTTAAGGACTGATGCAGCAGCACTGGCAAAAACAAATCAGAATTATTGCTTTACTCCTAGATTGTCTATTTATCCCAGAATCACAAGAAATGAAAAAGGGGTTTGCAATATTAGCAGTGTTATGCAAATACCAATGTTACACTGTTCAAAATACTTTTTTCTTGAACAGCATTATCAGGATTATTCCAAACAAAGGACAAGCAAAAAATCCAGCAAAAATCTCTTCCTCAAGCCTTGCAAAACTTGCATAACATAACAATAATACTTTGCACCATCCTCACCCCTCCACATGTACCAAATGAGGGATGCTTGAAATTCTGGAATTCACTTGGAAAGAGAAGAAAAAAAAAGAGATAGAGATGTGATGATAAATCCTACAAAGAAAGTGATGACAAGACTTTTGGTAAGTGCAGGGGAACAGTAACACAACACAACCTTTTTAGCAAGGCAAGAGCCTGGCAAGAGCAGATTTCAGCTCATATGAAAACAGTATCTTCCACGCTGTGTTGACAAAGCTATGAAAACAAAATAGGCTGCAAGGAGGCAGCCCTATGGGATCTGTCAAGATTGCTATTCCATCCTGCAGAGGGGCAGATAATCTTAAAGTAACCTTTGCTCCCACTGATGCTTTGCTGTGGGATACCTACTTGCACACCCAGCACAGATCAAAAATTTATCTGGAAATACTGTCTATTTTACCTGCAATACAGCCATGTGATTGCTGAACATGATGGAACCAGAGAGAAGGCAGATATAACATCTCACCAGCTTTCACTGTACACTGCAAAGGTTTTGCCTGAGCATACTCTGGATACAGCTCTAGATCTGGGTTCAAGGGGTCCAGAGGGATCCAGGGCACCTAAAGGCAAAAAAGTGTGTATATGGTACTGAACCTGGCAAAAAATTCCAGCAAGCTTTCAGAAAAACAACTGATAATCAAACTCACTAGGTTACAAAACGTACTTTATCTAGCAAAACATGTACAGCTACACAGCTTTCCACATTCAATTGGGAACAGGTCAAGGATGCAAAGATGTGCCTCCTTCAGTGATGCATTTCTAATTAGAGAAAAGGCAATAAATGTCATCCATGAAATTGCAGTCTCATGGCATACTTTTAAAACACTTCCAGCCCCTTAAGCTGCTTGCTCCCCCTACATTCAGTACTTAAATACTTTATCTGCACCACTCTTTTTAGAAATTCCTTTCTTCTTCTTTAGCTCTCTGGTGTAATTTTTACTCCCAGCAGCTAAAACACCCCTCCTTGCTGGGAAGTCCCTTTTGCCTGCATTAATTCTTTCTCTGCCCTAAAGAATTATAAACCTTAGCATTCCAACCTTGCTGCATTACAGAAATGAGATTCCATGAACACCACTCTGGAAACAGAAAACAAGCCCCAGTTCAAGTTATTTTGTAATATTACTCACACTTTGCAGAGGCAAAATGCAAGGGATTAAGATTCTACTGAGGTTTGTAAAGTGCCTCTAGATCCAAACATTTTAATCAAATAAATATTGCTACTATTAAGAAAATACCTTTTATTTACTCAGACAGGTATGTTTTATTGCACTGGGTGATACTACTGTGGACCTGAGTAGAGGGCCAAAAGAAAGTGAATGTAGAAAGGTCTATTTCAGGCATAATGAAATCAATTCCTTTATTGTTGATGATCGTTGATTCAAAAGTTCTTTAGTGGATCAATTCAAGTCTGGTGCAAGGCAACACTTAATGATCATTATCAATGGTTTCAGGTGGGCAGTGAAAGATCTTTCTGGAAGCTGGGTATCCTTTGCAAATAGTAAAATACAAGGGAAATATCTGGGCATTCTTTTTCCAGTAATGAAGGATTTCTAAATATCAATCAATATGCTTAGTTTGAGGGCTCAGGAATGCCCCAAACCCTCCCTACTCTATTAACTGCATTCTTTATAAACTTTTTTACCTTCTCTGCAGTCTTTTCATCCACAATTTCAAATGAACCATCTTCTGATACATGGTAGGTTGCTGGCTGGTAGAGCTCTGGAACCAGAGAAAGAATTAAATTACACAATTCAGAGAACCTAATGGCAGTGCATGTCACACTTTCACCAAGAAAAATTAATACAAAACCATTTTCAACTTACTGTACTCACTATCCTTCCCTTTTTCCATTTCAGATTTTTTAATGTAAGCATTTAAGTTTTTTCAGATACTTTTTTTTCAGTCAGCATGAATAATACTTACTCTCCTCCAAGCCCATTTGTATCCCAGTCCTATTTTGTTCCAGTAACTGTCTCCTTTTCAGAAGACATAAATGCACCCCTGACTTATACATCATTCTATAGTTGGGTGTTTCACCTTAGGTCAGTCTACTAAAGAAGCATTCACAAGAGTTATTAGTGGCCTGTAGCCAGCATTTCACTTCTAATTTTCATTATCAAGGCTCATCAACTGCTTCAGATACTGCTGGTTGCTTTTCTTTCGCTGCTCCAGCCCATGTCGTTTTCGAAGCCCTCCCTGGAGAGTTTCTCTCCATTAATTAACCTAATGCTCAAAAAGATGGAATTCTCTTTTTACTACACACTATGAAATGTAGCACTCTGTTCTGTGCTTTAACAGCAACTTGTTTTACAAAGTTGGACTGCTATAACACATGTATATGTCATACATTCACATACATACAACACCACCTGTCCAAGAAAGGTTGAGGAGATGGGATTGTTCAGCCTGGAGAAGAGAGGGTGCTGGGGAAACCTCATTGTGGCCTTCCAGTACCTAAAAGGGGCTTATAAGAAAGACAGAGGACTTTTTACCAAGACTAGGACAAGGGTTAATGGTATCCGACTGAGACAGGGTAGATTAAGATTATATATAAGGAAGAATTTTTTAACAATGAGGGTCATGAAGCACTGCAACAGGTTGTCCAGAGAAGTTGTGGATGCCCTGTCCCTAGAAGTATTCAAAGTCAGGCTGGATGGAGCAATTTGGTCTATTGAATGGCAGGGGCATTGACTCAATGATCCTCAAAGTCGTTTCCAACCCAAAACATTCTGTGATTCTATGACTTCAAGGTTATAAACAAAATAAGAACAGTATAAATAAAATACTGTAGCAGCACACATCTAGCAAATTATATTTGTGTCATAGAGTTCTCTGCATTCACTTAATCTGATGCTTTGAAAGTAAAGGAATAGGAAAATTAAGTTTTATGAGACAAAGTTAAGGTGTCCATCTTCTAGATGACACTGTAACAAAAGCTACTGCTGTGCACATAGGAAAGCAACATAAAGAAACAGAAAACAGGCAGTGTGAAGCAATGCTGCCACAAGAATCTCTTTCTTCATTTCTTAGGTTTCAGAGATTCAGTTAGTAGCTTGAATATTCCATTAAAATACAACTGATTTTTTAGCTTCCTGGCTTTTTCTTCCTAAAGAAAAGCAGGCAGAATCCAAACCCATAAAAAAATCAAAGATGACATGCTGCAACACTGACAAAATACTTTGTTTACTTAAATATTCTAAAGCTGAAGAGACTGCCATGAGTATCACAGAATCTATTAGTTTGGAAAAGACATCAAGAGATGAGACCTGAGATCACCTGAGATCATCAAGTGCAAGCTTTGACTGAACACCACCTTGTCATCTAAACCATGGCACTAAGTGTCACATCCAGTCTTTTCTTAATCACCTCCAGGCACATGCCTCCACCACATCCTGGGCAGCACATTTCAATATCTACTCACCCTTTATGCGAAGAAATTCTTTCCAATGTCCAATCTAAACCTCCCCTGGGCACAACTTGAGACCATTACCTCTCCTGTCACTGGGAAAAGAGCCTGACCCCACTTGGGTATAACCTCCTTTCTGGGAGTTCTAGAGAGTGGTAAGTACCCCGAGTCTCTTTTTCTCCAGGTTAAACAACCCCAGCTCCCTCAGTTGCTCCTCATAGGAATTACACTACGGAACCTTCACCAGCTTTAATATCCTCTTCTAAACTCACTTCAGCATCTAAATGTCATACCTGAATTGAGTGGCCCAGAACTGGACACAAGACTCAAGATGTGAATCAATGAGCCCATTACTTTACTGGACTGGGAAACCTAGCCTCAGAATAACATTTGTATTACAAATTACCTGCAGCACGAAACAGAAGAAATTTCTGTTCACACTGGAAAATGTAACACTGCATAAAAATCAAAATGTTACCACTGCTTCCTATTTTTCACATCTCTCCGTGTTTTAGTCTGTCCTCCTTCCAGCCTTCAGAAACATTGCACAGCAAAATGATGTACCGTATGGGATGAAGGGACGGTCACTTGGTGGATGCAGTAGAAAATATTTCTCTCCAGATACCACACAGTACAAGTTCTCATAATGATCTTTATGTACTAGGATTGAGAAAAAAGAAAAAAAAAAAGAAATGTGGAGAAAGAAATTCATATTCATTTCCTTCTCTGCAGCAGAAACTATAGTAAACTGAAAGTATCCACTTTCCCTATTATTATCAGACTGCTTCTTCCTCTTGGTGGCCAGTGGGAAAGTCACAATATCATGCTGTAGCAAATGCATTTAATGATTTAATGAAGCAAACTGTTGATGCCTTGTATGACACAATGCCAGGTAGATGCACCCAGAGATACAGCAGCAGGAGGCTGCAGAAGGGCAGAATAATGAAAAAAAAAGCATGTTAAAACGCTGCCTTGTCAAAAAAACCCCACACTATTCTCCTGAGTCACTAAACCAAAATAAGCCAGCTTAAACTTGTGCTGAAATCACCAGAAGATTTACAGTGCCATAGGATACATACAAGATGTCACAGCAGCTGACTCCCCCAGCCAGAAATTCACAGCATCAGGCTTCTTCCCTGTATGATTAGGGAAAAAAGATAAGATGGTATCAACAAAAAAAAAAAAATATCAATTTTAAAAACATTTCAAATAATTTTCTGAAATTCTGTCCTATAACTTCCTTCATAAGTATGACAGATTTCATTGCAAATAACACTCTGTGAGCAACAGCAACCTCCTTCTTCTACACTGCAAATACTTTCTAGATCAAAGAGAAGCCACTCTATGTAAAGAAGTGTTACACAATACTTTTTCTGTTGGGAGGGTCCCAATACACAAGAGAGATACTGATTTCAGAGGAATCCAGCCCCAAAACTTGGATTACTCTATTAGGCATTTTACCACTTCTAAGAGGATGAAACCAAACTGAGGTGTGACATTCAGAAAGAGAACAAACATTCACCATGTAGTACCTAGTGTGATTGTTTTAAAGCTCGATGCAAAATATTTACTGAATATGTGAGAAATTGAGGGTTTACCCAGTGCCTCGCTCATCCATGGTATATCAGGCTGCACATCACAGACAAGTTCAGGGAACTCCTCAGTGAGATTTGAACACTGCTTCTGCACATAGAATACATTGGGAGAGGTCACTTTCTTCTCCACAATGTCCAAGAAGTCTGTGAAAGGCATTTGGCGCTCCTCTGGCATGACAAAACGGTCCTGAAACACTGCATCTGCATAACCATTTGGTGTCACTGCCACACTCACCACCTTGGGACCTACTACCTCCCTGCAAAACAAATCAAAGCCTACAATTAGCTCTTATATTACACACTGGTTATTTTAAAAACATGTTTCAAGCGCAGCAAAAATAAGATGCCTGTCTGGACTCTGGCATTCTGCTCCAATTGCTCCCTGCCGTCAAGGCAACTCTAGTTTCTTTTTCCTCTCTGAATTCTCTCCTAACAGGACGGTTCACAAAGGAGCTCCCTTTTCCTCTTTGCAGACAGAGGGTCCCCTTCAGCCACTTCTTTTCACCAGTCATGGCAGAGCTTGATACTATTGTGGCCATTCAACTCAGCCAGATCCAAGGGTTCACGTGTTCAAAAGCAACTGAACAGGGAGAAGGGGTGGAAGAAAAGGATAGATACACACCCCATGAGGCTAACAGTCCTTAGCTCTATAAGATATTTAGCTTTAAGCCCCACAGAATTAGATCTGACCCACAGATTTTAGGTCTAACCATATAGCCTCTCTTAAAGAAGGGCTTTTCTTTAAAATTTCAGTCATTGTTTAAATGCTTATCATTTAGTTTTTTGGAGAAAACAAGGTGTGCTCAAATAAGTCAGTCTGTCCTTAAAGCATTACAGTCCCACTCCAGCTGGGTGAGTTTCAATAGTCTGAGTCTGTTGGCTGCACACAGCCAAAACACCCACCCTGCATTGGAACTGGTAGGGCAGTATGTGTGCAAGACACACCTGACCTTGAGAAGGCTGAACATCTTCATAAAGAACCAGGAAGGAATCGGTGCTAATCTTACAAACAACAGCAAAGATTAACCATGGGCTTTTTAGTGAAGTCGCCTGCAGTTGAACACCAGCCCTCCTCCACAGCTCGCTAATACCTGAGGTACGCCGAGGTCCATTTCTTCAGGGCTGGCCAGTGGCTGATGGCGTTGCGAATTATACAGGGTTTATTCGGACTCACCCAGTCTCGATAAAACTCCAGCGGGGACGGAGGCCTGTCAAGATAGGGTACAGACTCCGGCCAGCCCAGCTCTGTCCAGGCAAATAACAGTGTTACTCAGCATCCCGGGAGAAAGCATCCCCTGCCCGCACACAGGCTTCACACGCCTCACCAAGCTGACACCAAGCAGTGCCCCCCACGGATCCAGAATCCTTCTGTAAAACCCAGAGGGTGTTAGGGGGGTTTCAGAGCCGGGTGGAAACCTCAGCGCCTGAGGATAAAGAGCCTGTGCTACAGGAGGTGCACCTCTCATACAGAGGTGGTACCACAGGATGATTTTTTGGAAGCTGGAATAGTGCTTTCTTTTGCTACATTATACACAGAGAAACAACCATTAAAGGGCCGTTTTTTCGAGTTTCGCTTTCTTTTTGCTGCGGCCTTTCTGCTTCACCTTGACCTCGGAACCATCACGCCGGCAGCACGGTGGGTGCCGCCGATCGCCTCACACCGCTGCCGCCGGCCGAGGCGGCGGTACCGGGCTGGCCGGGCCCCAGGGCCGGCCCAGCACCACTGCCCGCCCCAGGCGGGGTCCCCGCTGCCCCCCCGACCCCGCTCCGCACTGCGGCGCTCACCGCGGGCCTCCCGAGGGAAGGCGGCCAGGCAGCCCCTCACGGCCCGCAGCGCCGCGCCCTCCGCCATGCACGGCCCGGCCCCGTCCCGCCCCTTCCCCCGGAACACCAACCGCGGGCAAAGCTCCCGAGCGAGTCGCGCAGCTCGGTAACAAATGGTCACGTTTTTATTGAAACAGTTTAAGACACGAAGTACAAATGGATACAGAGTTAAAAACGGCTCCCGGAGGAGCCTCACAGTGCAAAAAAAAAAAAAACAAAAAACAAAACACCAAAAACAAAAAACAAAAAACCCACAAAAAAACCCCAAAACTACAAACCAAAATAAAAACGAAACAAAAAAAAACCACAAAAACAAACGGAATCTTTAATTCTTTTCCCCAAATAATAATTAAAAAAAAAAAAAGACAAAGTATTATTTTACCTAAAGCCAAAAGTATAAAAACACGCATTTATAAATAAAGCAGGAAGGGGTTTTTTTTGTTTGTGTTTTAAAGGAGTGAAGGAAAAGGGCAGTGCAGGAAAGGGGGGAACAGGGGTGAGGAGGTGCCTGCCCGGAGCGCGGGGCGGACATGGCTTGCCCCGAGCTGCCCCGCGTGTCCCCGTGTCCCCGCCGCCACGTGTCATTCACACACACGCTCTGAAACACGGGACACGCCGGGGCTCGCCCGGAGGAGGAATCGCCTGCTCTCTCGGGGGGCTGCTAGAAGATCTGTCTAACATTTCGATGAGGTTTTTGTCATTTAGTGTCCTGGATGCTACACATCCAAGGGGCTGGGGGGAAGACACTGTATACATGCATGAATTTATCAAGGGTGTTTAAATAACTGCATTTCTTTTTTTTTTTTTTTTTTTTTTCTTATATATAATTATATACATATTCGTTCTTTTTAAAAAATTAAGTTGGTATGTTTCTACTCCCAGAAAGAAACGTCCCAATTCCTCTGAGTCACGATGAAATCTGCAAAACGGGGAGGCTGGGGAAAGGGCTGCTGTAAAGCCATGCCCCGGTCATCACCTGGGAGGTTGCATGGAAAGGAGAGGACAGCCTGAGGGAGGAGGTGGAAGAAAGGTGGACTCCCATACACACAGCTCCTGGGTGCTGCTGAGGGATGGGGAGGAGGAAGGTGTTACCTGTCTGCAGCAGGAAATACAAGAGTTTGCTGCCCTTTCAGGCTGCAGCCCTTCCTACTGTCCAAGTTCAAGAGAGCCCTTAAACAAACTGAGGGGTTCCACAGGCAAAGCAGTACTATCTGCAAGATGGAAAAGAAACCTAAAACTTCTCATTTTGACCAGGAATGTTGGGTTGAAGGGGGGAAAATATATGTAAAGAGGATAGGTAGGCCCAACTTATTTGTTCAGGCTTTATGTTAAACAAATATCTTAATACAGGTATCTTGCTGTGCCTATGCTAACACCCACACAAACCAGTAAGAGGGAACACAAACCATTTAAGAGGGATAGACTCAAATTTATTACCTCCTCTGACAAGCCTCTTCACTTCCCAGGCAGTTAGCATTCATTATTTCTCTACCTGGCCCAATGGACAGCCTCCAGTAAAACATGTTCACAAGGTGCAAATGCAATGCATTTATGCTCTTTTTGTTCTGTAAACTAGAGGTGTTAGGAATATTTCCTACTGCCAGCAATAGGAAGTTAGCAGGGAAGAATTAGCTGGATCAGTCTTAAATTATAAAGAGTAAAACTCTCCCCTCACCCCTCTCAGCAACAAACTTGTGGCACCAGCATCTCCTTTACTGGGCTTCTAATCAATTCAAAACATCAAAGCCTTGAACAAGCAGCTCATGACTTTGCCATTTAAGAAAAAAAAAACCAGTTGCTCAGAGAACAGCAAGAGGCTCAATAGAACATATTTAAAAACAAACTCCTTCCAATACATCCTTCAATTACAGATCACCATCTCCAAGTCCTGTACCCACTTTCCCAAAGCCTTTTGGTATTGCATCATTCACAGGTATTGACCAAATGGTGTTCTTCAGACCAAGACCACCTCTATTTCTACTCTGTTTACCTGAGTCTCCTACATATACTATTCTAAATTTATTTTAAACTACACAACCGTTCTCCAACTGATCTACTTGCCCAACATTTTTCTTGCCATCATTCTGATGAGCTTTTACCTCTGGTTTCCTGTATACAGCCATGACCCCAAGTAAAATCCATTTCAGGAAACAAAACCCACTCTGATCAGCTTAAAAATCAGATTTGCTTCACACTATTTATTTCTAAGGAGGTTTGTTTCATACCTCTATGTGAGTTCTGCTGGTTGTTGACCTTTACCTTTATGGTAAATTTCATTCTCGCCACTGGCTCTTCTGTATCATCTCTGATCTTTCTGTCACTATCTCAATGTTTAAATAATAAAATGGTATAAAATTGCACAAGGAAGTAATATAAAGGACCCTCAAACCATTATCAACAGTACCAAAATATACCTGGATTCAAGGGACTGCTATTTTTCCTGAGTGTCTTGTGGCCCCAGCAGAGCAAGAAATTTCCTGTATACTAGGACATATGTTCACAGTCTGAAAGTGGAGGAACCGGCCATCTCAAAAGCAAGCTTGACCCACACAGTAACTCCTATCACAGACCCAGCATGACTCTTATCACACATTCCACTCACAGCATCTCCAGTTAACTTTTTCACTCAGAGAAACTGCCAGAAATTTCCTTCCTGGTTTCCAACTTGCCTTCTTTTGCAAAACCTGTCTATGCAAGAGAAGCTGCCCATGGGACCAAGCACACCAGCTGATTCAGCACAATACAGTGCAGAGACAGGACTAGAACATAACCCCTTTAAAGTTTCAGTAGAAGCCCATGGAAGGAAAGGTTAGCAAGGACACCTGAAACATGATTAGGCAGATTTCATTTACAGGCAGAAGCAGCTGGAAAGCCCTCAAAGTATTCCCCATACTGCCATGTCCTGAAGCACTCAGCAGGGATCGGGCAGCAAACCTGTTAGGGGAGAGACAGAACTGCAGATTATTCAGCCCTAGAGTTATTCAGGAGAAACAGGTTGTCCTATGCCAGTCTGGCCAGACCAGTAGAAAAAAGGCTGCACTGCAGATTTGCAGTCACAGAAAGACAGAGAAGTCAACAGACCACATTTCCAAGTGCCACAGGGTTTCAGAGAGATAGCAGCCAGGACAGTAAAATGAAAGAAAACTGCTTCCACCCTGTAACCTCTGTAACCAAGTGATGCAGTCTGGCTGCCTCTGACTGACTTCCACAGATGCTAGCAGTCTCTCTCCCACCAAATTCTTGTTGTTTGTATTAGCTTTATGAACTGGGATTACACTGCTCTGCCTTAAAATAAGTGCAAGACAGACTGGAGATGGAAGAAATAAAACACTTTGTCTATTTGCCCCTGTTGTTGAAAGGAGTGGGAATAAGGGGGAAGGTGCTGAAGAATTTCATTGGTTTAATTTTTTTTTTCTTAGCTTATATCATTGACCTAAAAAACATCACTGGACAATTTTAAGCCACAACAAACACAAGTTAGCATGGGTTTAGAGAAGCTCCACAGGGCAAGAAGAATATTGCACATACAAATGCAAGAAGAGAAAATTCTGTTTCCCAAACCAGAAATTCATGAAAAGAAAAGAGCCTAGAGGCAGGGGAAATAGTGGTAATCACACCCCAAAACATCTCATTTGAAGTTCTTAGGAAACAATTTTCTGAAGGGATTTGAAACAGCATTACAAAAGGTAAGAGAATCTCAGCTTTCTTGGGATGTAAATTCTCTGTTTTCATGTAAAGGGAAGGGGAAAACATTTTCCTATCACAGTGAAATGAACAAATGACACAGATGAGCCATGACACTGAAGATCTCTCAAATCCAGAGTTACACTGTAAGAGATGGAAACCAGCTTTTCCATGTCATTTCTCCACAAATAAATCATAACAACATCAAAGTCAATATCCAATTCCTAATCATGAAAAGTGGCTGAAACCAATTTTTGTATTGTATCTAAATCAAAAATTTTAAATGTCTGCAGAAAACCTGAAGTATTCAATTTCCAGATTAAAAGTACTACTAATGAATTCATAAAGTAATCTCCAAAGCATGGCCCAAGGGATACAGAGCCTTTCCCTGGAGGTGAATGCAGATAAAATACAGTGTGGGGACTGTCTTGACACAATAGGAAAGCAGACAGGGTTGTCATAACAACAGCAGGATTACTGCAGGGAACGAAACTAAAGCAGAAAAAGCAAGAACAGCAACACAAGATCTAAGCAGAGAACGGTTCATTAATTGCACAGACACTCCAGCCTGTCTCCCTGTTGGGGATTTATATACAGAGATTGTTTCTCGCTGGGATATGGCAAAGGGATTGACAGTTTTTTTAAAGGACAAAGATAACAGCCACAAATGTGGCATAGAGCAACAGTCAAGAGAAATAAATTAATAAATAAACCCATAAAAAGTCTGATTCTTGATTCTCATGAAGTCTCAGAGAGGAAGAGATTGGCTTCACATGGACTCCTTTGCTTTTAGTCAGCAGTTCAGAATTTCTTGGATAAACTGGATTTTGTTTGTATTTTTAGGTGTCAAACATCCTGACCTCCTGGCTATGAAGAAATTTCAAGGCAATTTCTCCAAACTCCTCTTTCAAGACTTTGTTTAGAGACAGGAAGTTGAAGACCATTGGGAAACAAATATTAAAACTGTGGCCAGCACATTGCTAAGAATTTGAACAAGTCACAGTTGTTGGAGCCTGAGGAAATCAATTTATAAAGGTATCCCCACCAGCCCTAGACCAGCTGATGGTAGCATTGGTCTGAAGCTCTCTCTGTGGTCCTCTTGCAATTCTGTGAATTCACAAACACCTGAAAGTCACCCCTTTTAGAGTTTTTTGTCCATGCGTCGTTCCACAGCTTGCAGCAATAGCTCCGAGTACTGTTCCAACAAAGCTAGTGTCTGCTCATCTCCCAAACTCTTGGGACTCGGTAGATTGGCACCACATCCCTCACTCAGTGGGCTAGCGTTATCTTGTGGCTTTACCAGTGCCTCCTTATCTTTTGGAAGCTCTTCTGCATCCTTCAGAGAGTCCAA